ACCAGGGTTGGCAAGGTTTAGGACAGAATGGATTAATCCACGGTTTAAACCCTGGTTTAAACAGTCCTGTCCAAAACCCCTTTGTTCAAAACTGTCTTAAACCCTTTTACTCAAATTATGTCACAATTTTATCTGAACAATATTTAAGAGGTAAAATAAACATAGAACTAATAACATATTGATAATTAAATCTACTACTGAATATTTGTTTTTAAAAGTATAATGTTTTATTAATATTGTTTGACTCTTCAATTTAAACACTAAACAAAGGAAGATTAATTAGTAATCAAGTTCAATTGGTCCTCTCATTCAATAGTACATAACTGAAGTTTGACCTTGCCATACAGGTTAAGTTATTAGGGACTAAGTGCTTGGTTAGTCATTAACATGTTTATTTCCCTATAGTACTATTAAAAAATACTGCTATTTCATTCATGTTCAATTCTTTTAGCATAGTCATCACCAGTGTCAGTAACTGAAACTGATGTTATGCCCTTCAAAACTGTTAATACATTTTTCAGTTATTTTGTATTTTCAATTTAAACTAATATATTTATATTTAAAAACAATTTTTTTTAAAAATAGAATTATTTTTTATCATCCTGTGATGCAGAAATTATAAAAATTTTTTTAAAAAATATTGTGAAAAAAAAGGTTAATTTTTAAACAAATTTAGTATTTTTTAAAAAAAAATTATTTTTTTAATATTGCATTATTTATTCTTATGCAAAAATATTATTTATCAGTATTAAAAGCATATTTATATTTAAAGGATTAGGATGGTGTTTGATTCATAATTCGCAGACTCTAAAGAACTAAATTTTACCTATTTGAAGTAAAAATAAAATGTAAAAATCTGAACGCAAACGATAAAAAACTATTAATCCTTACTAAAAATTAATAGAATAAACAGATAAGTATTAAGGAGATTAATAATATTTATTCGTCATAATAATGAAGCTAACGATGATTATATTTAACATTCGAAAAAATACTGCATATCAAGCGGTAACTAAAACTAGCACAAAAGAGAAAATTATTTGCTACAGATTCCTACTTTCTAAACATTAAGATAATTGGGTGAGAAAAACGTAGGAAGGAAAAATTATGTATTCTCCTTTCACCTTTAAAAATTTACTCATAGGAGCTTTTCAAAAATTGTGTGAATGCAATTTTTTTTAAGATTTCAAATTTGAAGGCATTATAAATTGCATCTATCAGATATTACCAGATTTTCGGAATTGAAAAAGGAAACAATATCAGAATTTCGGAAAGCCCCTTCCATTCTCTTCAAATCAAATTAAACTTTTATTTTCACACATTAGCAAATAAAATAAAAAGCTTTAAAAATAAAAGTTATGGTGCAATTTAGTGTATGTTACACATGGCTAATACTAGGTTTGGTTTGTTCAATATTTTCTTTTCGCCATTGGTTGCCCTACACCCTACTTGTATTTTGTAATCTATTCACAGGAGAATGGTAAATAAGAATAAAAGGTTTTTTTTCTAAAGAGAGATAACGGCAAAAGTAGGGGTAGTGATTGAAATTTTGCTTTAAGTTTTTTTTTTGTGATTTTTTTGTAGGAACGATATTACTTTTGGGAAAATTACTGAGAAAATCAAAAACTTTAATGACCTTATCACAGAATTCAGGGCCCTGATTTTCTCTAAGAAAATTTAAGGACTTTCAAGTACATAATGAATGTTTCTTTGTTTCAAGTAAATAATGTCTCCCTGTTCATACTGCTTTCAAAGCATGAAAATCTTTTTTGAATCACCCATTAAGAAAATTTTGCATACAAAGAGAATTCATCATGTTAATATTTATGACAACTTTTGTCTTAGATTTTAATCATATTAGTAATCCCATAAAGGCAATTCTGAATTCCAAACATTTCCATAAAGTTTTAGAATAGGAAAATGTTTTGAAACTTACAGTTTACATTATCCTTTGCTCCTAAATTTTTTTTTTTAAAGTTACCTCTAATAAAATTCTTTATACTTTCATGCAACAATATTAATCCTATAAAAGCAATTCTGAATTCCAAACATTTCTGTAAAATTTTAGTATAGATACCAAGATGCTTTGAGCCGTACAGTTTATATTATGCTTTGTGCTTAACATTTCTAAATGTTATCTATTATAAAATTCTTGATACATTCTTGCATCAAGAATCATATTAGCCATCTTTTTCTTAGTTAAGATGTTTGCCTTTTCTTGGTTTGGAATAAATAACTATAATTATTAAAATTGGTTTCTTCAATTTACATAATTATACTAATATATCTGCCATTATCCACTTTTGATCACATCATAAAAGTAATGGGAGATGCCGCTTTTGTTGAATTGAAATATAACTAAATAGTTAATATAGTGTGATACACAGATATGAAATTCTGGCAAGCAGGTAATAATTTACAAGCATTTTTTAAACATCAATCTGCGATATAACTGTATTTTATAACATTTACTTTTATAGCTATTTTTAATAAATTTATGTTCTAACAGTATTAATTTACAAAAAAAAAAAATATAATATTTAATTGTTGTAAGAACTATAAGATTTTGTATCATATTGAACTAAAGATAATGTTAATATTAATTTTATAAAAGTCTATTAAATTTCCCTTTTTTTGAATTACTTAAAAAATACATAAAAAATCTGAAAACCAGAAAATAAAATCTATTAATTAAAAAAAATATGTCATGAAGAAAAGAAACTTACTTTTCATCATAGTTTAGTGATCTACGAGTACTTTCACAGTTTTCCAACCTACAATTTAAATAAAATAAATAGGAAACAGTGTAAAGTATTTTTTAAAAACATATTTAAATAGCAAAAGATTAAATTTCTTGGATAAGGTTTCTTAGACCTTGGTTCACAATAAATCAAAAATAGTTTTTAATATATATCATCAACAAAGTTTAACATTTTTATACTTTTCTAAATAATTGTAAATATGGTAATTTCAGTATACATAAGGAAAAAAATTTTTATCTTTGAAATGTTATCATTAGAGATGCCATCAGCAATTGCATCCTTTTTAATAAAAAAAAATTATCCACAAATTTTTTTTTTCTTCAGCTTTTTGTTTTATATCTATGCTTTTTTGACTATCAAGAATTAAGCTTTTGTTTTGAAATTTGAAAGAGAAAGCTGGAAATGATCAAATGCCCTTAATTTATGAACTCAAGCTTCTTAAAAGTAAATTTTATTTAAAAATCAATAAGTCAAAAAAAAAAATTTATTGACCTAATTTTCAATCATAAAAAATAATTGCATGATAAGGCTTAATTGTTTAAAAACAGTGCATAATTTAATTTTTAAGACATGATTAAATGACACAATTAAGCAAATTAAAAATTTCTTTTGGTCTTGGTAATTTTTAAAATTGATACATTATTAAATAATTACATCCACGGTATCTGATAAATTTCAGACTTTCAAATCCATGACTTTTTATGACTAATTCCAAGAATTTTTCTTGATTTAACGAAGTCACTATTTTCGGCGACAAAAGCACAGCAATAAATTTAAAAAGCATTACAATATTAAGTGAAATGATAGGTATATAACCAAATCTATAATACTCTGCATCTTCATATTTATAGAATTTTAATTCAAAAAACAGAGTAAAGAAAGAGTTGCAGCAACAAAATAGCTTTAAAAAGGGGGGAAAAAAATTATTTATTTTTTTTCTGCAGAATTATATTCTAAAGATACTTTTCTTGTTCATTGGAAAAGAAAGAGATACTCCTGAATTTTCTGTTCTCATTTCGGAATTTTAAAAAAAAATATCACCTAAGAATCGCTTGCTTCAGCTAAAATTTTAAATTGATAAAATAAAAAAAATAAAGAATAATAAAAATTCTGAAATCACAGAAGTTTAAAAGATAATTCGATCTAGGAATGTTTTTCTTTCATTTTTTGAAAGAACAAGATAAAAATATTTTATATTTTAATAAGATGACTGTGAATGGGGATTTTGTTAGAAATTCAGAAGACCATGAAATTGGGGGGGGGGGGGGGGNTTGGGGGGGGGGGGGAGGATTCAATCTCGAACATTAGATTTTTCAACCTAATTCAATTATTTTCTTTAAAAAAAATAGTTAAAACCATTACATTTCATGACAAATTTTGTTCAATACCCAAATTCATGGCTTTCCAGGTGCCTGGATACCCAGTACATCCAATAAAATCCTTGCTACTAACATCTATTATGTTTTTGATTTTCACTATTCCTCAAAAATAAAGTTTATATAGAAAAAGTTAAATTTTAGTTAATATTAGTTAAATAAAGTTAATATTACCTCATTATGCAACATTTTACAATAAACATATTTAAAACAGTTAACAAACACTGTTAACTCATTATGTATCCATTAAAAGGGCCCGTATTAAGGTTTTCAAATTATTAGCCAAATATCAAAAGTATTTTCCAATTTTTGAAAGTCTTTGCCACTTATACTTAATGAAGAATTTACAAATTTTTAAGATTAAACAGCTACTCAATAATCATAACTAAAATGCCTAAAAAATAGTAATATAAGACTTACTCATTATGAAGGCCTCTTGCAATTTCTATCGAAGCTTCAGTTGGATTCCATCTAAAAATACATTTTTATGTGTTCAATAGAAATAAAATTGGAATATATTATATTTCAATAACGCAGTCATGATTCTTTTTTAACCTTCAAATATTATTAGTAAGATCACATTAATTTATCATCAATGCACTTAGCTTTTCATATTTATTTCCCTTTACAACAGTTTTTAAGTGTTCCAATTTAGCACAATTTTAAAATTTTTAAGTTAATAAAATTCTTTTATCTTAGTGTATTTTTTAAAGTTAGAAATCAATTAGCATCAACCAAGCACTAAAGCATGATTTTTTTTTTTTAAAGTTAATATTTATAATGTAGGAATTAATAATGGGCAAGTTAAAGTTCTAGTAAAATTGACCTGGTTCATTTTCAGCTATACAAATCACTAGTGTTACTATGTCAATGGGAAAATAGAGTACCTACAGAGGAGAAAGCTCCATACAGATTAACCATCATATGATTATCATTCAGAAAATTAAGACAAAATAATCTCTCAATTTTTCAGAATTTAAAAATTAAAAAAAAAAAACAGCTGCAAAGAATAAACGAACATACTGATGAGAAAATAAACTTATATATTCAAAGATTAAAAAATAAATAATACCTATCTGGTTTTTTCACACGCCTTCCACTTCGAGTTCTATATTCTGGAAGATCACACGCAGCTAGTTGTTTATTCTTTTTCTGCCTTCTTTGACTCCTATGAACCAATAAATTATTTTAGAGCAACATAAATTATCAATATATATTGCTCTGAAAAAACAAGCTACTTTTCATAACATTACAAAAGCTTAAATTCTTTAATCAATTAATTAAAATCATTTACTTAATAACTAAAATTAGTTTGACTAATAAATTATTAATTCATTAGTCAAATATATAATAAATAAAAATTTTGAGAAGCGTATTTAAATAACATACTTTAATCAAAATAATTAATGATTTTTTTATTTTGTTACACTTATAGATAATGGGACTAAATAGATTTAATAATTTTACTCTACAAATATGATACTTACAAACTTTAACAACAGCTAATAGTATTTAAATTTATAAACTGGTAATTCACATTAAATTAAACAAGAGACAATTAAAAATTATTTATTGGAAGTGAATAGGCAATTGCAAAGCAAACAATTTTAAGTTCATTAAAATATCAAACTAACTATATTCATCAAATCAGATGAGATAAGACTTGTTAACTCCCATTTTTTGAAATAGTGAAAGACGTAATATTTCTAATAAAAGGTATCATTGGACTTTTTTTTCTTTCTCGGAAATAAAGTAAAGATTAAAATGCTAAATGCAATACTAAAAATGCAGATCTAAATATTGACTTCATATGAAAAAAACACTATTTTTTCAATTCTGGAATGTAACATTTAGCAAGAAGTATTGTATTTTTAATACTAAATAGTGACCAGGAACCAATTGCAAAATAACGTATTTTAACACACACAAGCATATTTTCTAAATATAATTTCTGGCAATTCATTTTAGCAATAAAACTATCTAGCAATTTATTTTAAAAGGAACTCAATCGTAAAATGAACATGCCAGCAATAAATTAAACAAAATTTTTGAGTAATTTTTTTTAAACAAATGAAGCTTAAAAGTCGAAATATTTAATATAAATAAATAGTATGAAAATATTTTATGACTATATAGATAATCTTAAATAAATATTTCAATATTAAAAGAACTTATTTTAGAAAAAACTGTTTTCATTCTCTTCAAAGCCATTAAACGGTAAATTTCAAATTAAAGTAATTAATACTTACATTGCATAATAGAGATGATATCTTACGCACAATAAAACCAAAACTTAAATTTATTTAAGTTATTTAAAGTAAGTAAAAAATGTAATTTACAAAATACAATTAATTACGCAGCTTGAATATTCGCTAATATGACTAAAACCACACCGAATGCGTCTGTCAGCGCGCAATGTTTGTGTTTTTGTATTTTCAAATACTATTGCCAGATAATAAAAGATAAAAATTAATCACGGTTGGCCTTTTTTTTTCTTTTTCAATTTTACAAAATCTTTAAAAAGGGAAGTATGATTTTCAGTTATTTGTATTGTTCATATACGAAAGTATTTCCTTAATAAATAAAAAAGTGCATTTTGGATTTAATAATTATTTTTAAAATGCCATATTTATTTAACTGCGACAATAATACCAAACATTTGAAAAACAAAACTACTTCCAAAACGGCGAAATTTTACCATCCTAAAGAATTTGTATAATTAAGGTAAGTATGATATGATAATAATATACTTAAATTAATCATCCCGAAAATGACAGTTGTATTTTATTGAAAATAAATTTTTGTGTTTAGGCTAAAAAAGAACCGTATACATTCAAGAACTATAAAAACTTTCGGCAGTATATATCGTATAAAAAACAGTTTAGTTTCAGAAACATTTTATTGTTATAATTTTTAATTCAAGTTGTATAATCGTTAAGTAATGAGAAGAAACATCCAAAGGCTGAAGCATGTGGAGGAAATTGATATTTTCCCTAAAGTGCCTGAAGATTACAAGAAAACTACTGCGACCGGTGGCACAGGTATTGTGAAAGATTTTTATTGTTACTTTTTATTTGATAGCATGCTTTTATTTGATAATATCTCTCTCTTGTTGGAGAATATTTCCATGTAGTAATCTCCGCCAAAATAATCGCCGAGGTTGGCGATTTATGAATAGTGACCCATGAGAGACCAAGAAATTACAAAAATTTCTCAGAAACAGACTAACTCGAAAGGTTTAACCCGTTGTCACCACAGAGCAACCCTATTCATGTTTATTTTTTTAATTTGTAAGTTTAAAATCCATTTGACGCCTTGGCGATGTAGATTTCGCTATATCACGATACAAAATTTTCACATATGTGTTTATTATTATCATTATTTTATATCTGAAAAAAGTAAAATAAATTTCATACTTATGGTATATATTTCACTAAATTCATAATATAGCTCATGACAGACACCATGTTTATGGGTCTGTCATGAGCTATATTGTGATGTTATGTTTTAAAGCTCAAAAATATGTAGGAATATTGGGTATTTTTTGGTTAATCAGTCTCATGTGTAAAGTCTCAAAAAATTGTAGTGCTCCGCTAACTTTTTATTTAGGATTTATTTTTTAACCACACAAAAATTAGGTAAGCTGAAAAAAAGTGGATATTTTATAGTTATCTGTCACTTCAACTTGCACATTTAAAAAAAAAAAGCAAAAAACGTATAGATGTTTGCCTGGAGTGGCTATGAGTTATACCTCTCGAGTTGGTGCCTTTCTGTGATGTTATTTTTTTTTTTTAGTTTCTCGCGGGCTTCTGCCAGGAAGTTGCTTAGACTTGGCGATTATTCTACTTCAGATCACGATACGGAAATCTCCCCCGAAATTTTTTTTAAAAAAAAATAGATTAATTTCCTCGTTTATCTTAATTTTATATTATTTATTGTTCACTAATTTCACACTTTGTGCGTTATTAAAAGTTAAAGTGAAATATATTTCAGAATTCTATTTTTGCAATTGTACTTCTAAAATCTATTTAAGTTATTTGGTATTTTTCATTGCTTTAATTTTCTATAAATATCTCACAAAATTGGGACAGTTTAACCACTCCCTCACAAAAACACATGTCCCCCCTCCCCCCCGCATAATCAGTATTTTATGATAACTTTGCATACTTTTGGATGTAAAGATTCTGACACTCTTAGTTATGGGTATAACTTCATATTTGTGTAAAGTTGAAATGTGAACCAAGCACCATAATATAAATGTAAATAAAATATTCACGTCAAATTTTCTATCTTCTTAATTTCCTTTTTATTAATTCTTTTCTTTTGATTACAGTAACTATAATTAGCTTCATAACGATTTTCATACTTGTATGTTCAGAAATTGTATACTACAGTTCAAGTCAATTGAAATTTCAATATGGTGTAGATCATGATATAGATAGGTAGGTATCACATAATTTACAATTTTATTGATATTTGAATTACTGAAGTTTACTTTTAGTTTATAAATATTTATTAGTTCCTTTTTTTTGTTGTAGTAAATTGCAGATAAATGTGGATTTAACAGTAGCCATGCCATGTTCCAGTGAGTTAGATTCTGTTTTCATATATATTTTTTTTTAACTGTCGATTTAAAAGCTCAAAATTTAAATCTGCTCATTTAATTTATCTCCTCAAACTCCTAATATTTTCTACTCATAAATATAACAGTGTATTATAATGTTACATTTAATTGGCTTTTATATTTGCTAATTAATAAAAATGTGTGATACATTCATAGTTATTTTGCCTCCTTAAGACCTCTTTACCTACATGTTGCAAATTTTAAAATTTTTGCATCTAAAGGTTGTATTTTGTTTATAATGACTAATATAGTAATTTAAAAATACAATGAGAATTTAAATTAGTATTAATATCATTTAGACAATGAATTCTAATATTAGGTTTTAGATTAAAATAGTATAAAAAATCTGCACCTATAATATGATTAGTTATATCACAAATATAAAATGGAAAATTAAACTTTCGTCTTAGACCGAAGTCTAAAGTTAACAATTTCTTACAGTATACTTTTATAATGGTATTGTTCGCAGCTTTAAAGGTCTGTATCGGAGAAAGGGTTTTTTCTTTTTTATTTGCTGGAATAATTGAGCAGTCACTTCAGGTATCCACTGGAAATTGTTTGTTAGATTGTCTATCTCTAACAAAAAGGCGACAATTTGTTGGAAGCAGGATGTTAGTCGCACTCACTCCTGCCTTTCTTGGTTTTTCTGGTAGATGCAGGGTTTGACACACTTTCGAGCATCTGATTTCAATTTTCGATGATAGAAACGCATTTTGGAGTTTCGATGTGGAGATGAGGATTGGCTTTGGCGATTACGAAACTGTGCATAGTTCCAGTTGCGAGACCTATTGTGTGTCCGCAATGCTGCTACTTCTTTTCGTAGTGCTTTAACTTCTTCTAAAAGCTCAAAGGTGCATTGTTGGTTTGAAGAAACTTTGCTAACTTCACTTGAAGTTGACATTTCCATTACTTTATCAGCAATTTCAAGCGGCTCTTGTTGAATTCAGTGAAGGGATTGCGGCCAATATCGACTGAACATGCTGTGGTAGCTGATTTAGAAATAGTTCCAAAAGTAGGGAATCTGAGATTTCGTGGGATTCAGCTCTTCTCTGCATAGTGTGCAAGAGTTCGCTAAGCTTTCTATCTCCTAGTTGCTCTCCGGAGAGTAAACGTCGAATTTCATGGGACTTTGTTTCCCCACAGCGTGCAATAATTTCTTAATAATATAAGGTGGGCGAGGCAGTAGTTAAACTTTGTTTTGCTCTGTGTAATCGGCTTCGGTGTCGCAGTCTGGAAAGTTGCTTCGACCGTATGGAACCACAGGTGTGGATCAGAAATATTGAAGATGGGAATTTTTACTGCAGACGATTTCGCCATAGTTGCAGTTTCCTATTAATCCAAGAATAATACAAGAAGCAAAAGCAGGAAAAAATAAAAGTTGTTTGTATCGTCAGATGTCTGGGTCACCATTGAAGTAAGCGAAGATAGCTCCTTTGTAATACTAATTTTTTATTGAACATATTTACATTATATAAGTTGGTTTGAATTACAAGAAACATCATCACAGCAGGTGATGGGAGCATGCTGCTATTTATACAATTCTAAGAATATGATGACGTCAGAACTCTTAATTCAGTTCACTTCAAAAATAAGTAAAAACACAATTGATTAAAGACAGGCAGATAATAAAATGAAATAAACTTGATTTTACGATGAGCGGCGAACCCCTCACCACAGTTATTTTGCCTCCTTAAGACCTCTTTACCTACATGTTGCAAATTTTCAAATTTTAGCATCTAAAGGTTGTATTTTTCTTATAATGACCATCTTAACAATTAAAATAAAAATATTAAAAAAAGTGAAATAAAATTTTTTTTAAATGTTATTTACTAGAGCCTAGCTGGCTCAAGGGATAGAGCGTTCGCCATCCAATGAAGTAAACCAGGTCCGAATCCTATCGATGGCTGGTTGATACGAATTCTGCATCCGGTTTACACCAACCACAGTGCTGACGTAAAATGTGGCTTGACAGTGCTGACGTAATGTGGTTGACGATCAGGGGTTAGAGCAGTGATGACAACTGCTCCGGACAAGCCAAAATAATAATAAAAAATATTAAAAAAACGGTAAATAACTACAAAGTAAATTTTGCAATTATTTGACTATTTTTGCTTGCTTTTTAAAAGGTATAACATGACATAAGTACTATAAAGTGATGAATTATGTAAGCCTACGAATTATTTAGAAATANTATAAGCCTACCAATTATTTAGAAATAGTGGTGGATAAAAATCTACTGAATTATTAAACCAAGAATCTCAATTGATAAACTACCACTTTAAAATATATATTTGTTGTCCGGAGCAAGTTGGCATCTCTGTTAAAGTCCCCTTGCCGTCAGGCTAACTGTGGGAGGCTTTCATGGTTTTCCTCTCCATGCAACTCAAATGCAGGTTAGTTCCATTAAAAAGTTCTCCATGAAGGCAAATTTCTCCCAATACTTGATCCATGAGTTCCCTTGTCTTCTGGAATGAATTCAAAATTACAAGGCTATGACATTAAACATTAGTAGTCGTAAACTCAAAAATTGGGTTGGCTGTTCAACGACGGTTATGACATATGCAAAAAATGCTATCTACTAAATCAGTATGTTTTTTGTATAACACTTTCATAAAATACAAATGAACTTTATCAACTATGAATTCAATCCTACTTTTTGTGATTAAGTTTTCAAGGCATTTTGTGGAGGCAAGTAGGCTTGAAAATTCCTTCTAATGCTATTTCTTACTGTTGTGCACGAAAAAAAACTGGCTTGTCGAATTGTAATTCAGCCATGTTGAAATTCAAAAAAATACAGTTTATATTTAGGAGTGTTATTGTATTTATGCATTACATTTTAAGTAAATTTAGAATGCCATTTATTAATTTTAAAGTTTAACAACTCTTTTTAATCAATTTTATGAATTAGCCATAGGTGCAGATATCTTAGATGTAACTAATCAAAATGCTGATTCATTTGGAGAGCTTGAAGAAGAGCCAACTGTCTTTGAATTACCAATGATGCAAAGAGCACAGTTTGATACACTTCAAAAAATTAACTTATACATTAGAGAAGAATATCATGCGATTCAAGATCTTATTTGGAAAAATGGATACACAAATATATTAAAGCATGTGCCTACTGGGTAAATTTCACTTTAAAAATTAGATCTCTTTTTTTGTTATCATGTTGTTACTGTTATTTTTAATTTGTTTAATTAGGTTATAGTTAATTATTCTATGAATTAAAATGAAATATAGGGTCGCCATTCCACAGGGAGAACAAAGTAGACCTAAAAAATTCAAAGAATACAAAAATTGTCTAAAATAGCTGGGAATATTGAATTTTTCATTCCAAACTGGGAAAATGCAAGGAATTTTGTTTCTTATTTTCGTCTTTAAAAAAATTCCAACCTCTCAAAGCTTAACTGTAAGCTATGGGATATTTTAGAATGATAGTTCAGCTATGTTCAATGTTATTAATGTCAAATATTTGTTATTCTCAAGAAACAGAGTCCCAGACCCTTATCTTGAAATAAATTCTTATAGATTTGAAACAGTGAGGAGTTTTACTTACTTAGGATCAATTATTACCATTGACAACAGAATTACTCCTGAAATAAAAAACTGACTCTATCTGGCGAATAGGGCTGTCTATGGGCTGAGAAGATTTATTAAATCTAGGTTTCTTTCTAGCAAAACAAAGTTCTTAATCTACAAAACTCTTGTCCAGCCAGTCTTGACAAACGCTTCTGAAGCTAGGACAATGACAAAACTAGAGGAAAATTGCATCACAATATTTAAGAGAAAGATTTCGCATAGTATACTTGGTGGTGTAAATGAAAACAATAACTGGAGAAGGAGATTTAACTTTGAACTGTAAAAGATTTATAAACAACCCGATATTATTAAATACATAAAAATAAATAGAATGAATTGGATCGCCCATATGATTCAAATGAGTGACGACAACACAATAAAAAAGATACTGCTTTGTAGACCCACTGGAACAAGAAAGCGGGGAAGGGCGCAGTTGAGATGGGCTGACTCAGCCTATCTGATTTTTTCGCAGTTGATGAAGAGAATTGGAGATCAAAGATAAATCAGTAGTCCAAGTCGTCATGGAGAAATCTTCAGAGGAAGGCATTGGCTCACATTGGGCTGTCTGGTCAACTATGATGATGATGATGAGTTCAGCTATGTTATACTATTTCTTTTGCTATAACAATATTTGTTTTAAGTATGTTGTATTGTTTCTATTTGATAAGTATGTTATCTCTAAGTTTTTCAATCAATTAAAACTAGTATAGTTATCCTAATATAGCTCACACATGAGTACAGTGATTGTGTGTTTCCTCTAAATTATTGTGTATAATATGTACAGGGAAAACACAGGAAATTTTTTCTCCAGATTTCAGTGGCAACCTTGTAATAATAATAGCAAAAATTTTGTATACTTGAGACACGAAAATCTTAATTTTCTGCATTGCAATTTAAAAACAGTGTTGCACCTTAATAAAAAACAAAAGTTCTGCGTAACTGGTATAAAATGCCAAAGAGACAGAGAAAAAAAACGTTCTTAACTCTTGGTTTATGATCTCCTTCTTCAATTCATTAACAATGAAAATCTGTTTTTTATTACAGCATAATTAAAAATATAGGTCATTAGAGTGGCTTTTATCTTAAATAATAACAGCAAAGTAAAAAAAAAAAAAAAAAACTCTTGTTGGNAAAAAACTCTTCAATAGTATTCCATAAAAACAATAAATTGAAGACTGAACAATAGCTATAAATTGTTTAAAAGAAGTGAAATTGATTAGTGAAAGAGAAATAAATTATTGCTCTCTCTGCATTAAATACAATCTATTTAATATTCAAATGTCATATCAATGTTTTATTTTTGTTCTAGGTATCAGGAAAAAATATTAAAAACAAATAAACAACTCAATAATAGCTATAAATTACATTTAAAAAAATTTATAAATTACAATGTGAAAAATGAAAAATTATGAGAAAGATACATTAAAGACTGAGCAATAGCTATAAATTATTTTAAAAAAATAAAATAATAAAACTGAAATTGATTAGTGGAAGAAGAAATAATTGTGCTCTCTACATTAAAATTAATCTATTAAATATTCAAATGTCATGTTAATGTTTGTAAATGTCATGTATTTGTTCTAGGTATCAGAAATAAAAAATAAATAAAAGATGCAATAAGGTCTATAAATTACATTAAAAAAATTTCAAAGCAGGAGAATGAAGAAAAAAAATATTGTTCTCCCCACATTAATTATTAACTATTTATAAGTACTTTTATAAACAAGGCATAAATTATTGTACAGTAATGAGTTTAATTTAAGGAAAATTTTAATTGGTAATAATCAAAATACTATAAAATACAATATTATTAATTTACCATTGTCTATGCTCTTTTCTTCTATTCTTCCTCTTCCTTATTCTAAATAATTACTTGCTTTCTTGAGTGGTCATCTTAGTGCTTTAACCACTATGCCCTCATGGCTATAAATATCATGTTAAACAGTCTAAATAGAATTCAGTTGCTTTATTTCCTATCACCATTGTTTGTTTTTTAATGACAAAACCTAATGAGTTTTATCTTCTAGATTTTAGAGCATTGTTTTTCCAAAAAAATAATCTTTTTAAAGCGATAGACTATTAATGTCCAAAATGTCATGTTTTCATGTGTCTAATTCAAATGAAAAGTCGTAGTAGTAGTTTATTTATGATGCATTAAAGCTGCTGGATGTACAATTGTCAACAGTTTGAGAAGTATCCCTAAGGATGATCTAAAGACATGTCGTCAAAACTTTGATCCTCTGAGAGTGGGAGTTGCTCCCCTGCTTATGTAGCCCAATCACCTGCAAGCAAAGTCGTGTAGCTTACAGTTTAACAAGGAATAAAACTGTGCACTCTTGGTTTCTACACGGGCTGATCAAAGTGGTCACCCGTTCGCTCTCTGACCGCAGCCAGTGATGCTTGACTTTGATGCATGGGGGTCATGGGCATGGTGTATATGTCCCCTCAATAATTAAATTCTCTGAAAGTCACTATCAATATTTCAGAAAAACAGAGAAAATTTTCATCAATCATTATCAAATTTAATTCCTTAAAAACAAGAAAGAAATTATTTATAGAGATGTTAAGCTGATTTAATAATTTTTATATGAGTGAAATTTAGAAACTAGTGTGACTGTGTATTTTAAACTGTGTATCAAGCGCTCTGCTGCTCTACTTGGAATATTTTTCCAATCAATCTACTTCAAGATGATTCAAATGAAAAAAAATTAGCTTTATGCTGTTTATAAAAAGTTAAAACAATGTGAAATAAGTTCTGTTTTATGTAATATTTGTGTTTTTCCAACTTTATTTATCATATCTAATTGTTTACTATTTTTAAGTGATGCAAAAGCAAAAGGTACTCCCGATGCGTGCCGTCTCAAGGGTTCATTGGTTGTTAATAAAGTAGCTGGAAATTTTCATATAACTGCTGGAAAGTGAGTTTTTTTTTCCTTCCATATCTTTGTAATTGTGGTTTTGTTAAACATTTAACTTATCCAACCAAATTTACCTGTGTTTTTTATTTATATGTAATATTTTTATGAATTACAGGCATATACCTCACCCTGCTGGTCATGCCCATATCTCAGCATTTCTAAAAGAATCAGGTACATATAAACATTGTCTTTATTTGCACTTAAAAGTAGTTAAATCTCATGAACATCAAATCTAGTCCTTAAAAACTCTAATTGTTCAAATGTCTGTAGTGCTTCATTTTATATTTCATAGTTCTTACATTTTTATTTTGAAAATTAAGGGCTCTTAAAAGTACTTAATTTTAGTTCTAAGTCCATAAGAGTCCTTAACCTTTTTACGGTTTTTGCCTTTCATTCTGGTCAACTTTTTGTACCGGCTATAAGCAAAAATTTATTTTCCACTATCGCAAGTAGATTCAATTAGTAGATTCATAGCACTTTAGTGTTTGTAAAATATGTGGGACAAAAAGCAATCTGCAATGCGGCCTTGCATTAAAAATAAAGCATTCTGTGAGAAGAGAATGTGCATTTAAGGTAAGCTATTTTAGTGCTGCACAGATATTAAATCTTTCAAAATTGCTTTTTTTTTTAATTGGAAGACTATTTGTTAATTGGGAATACCGTAAGGAACTGTGCGCTACATGTCACAAATAACTCTTTTCTAGCGTAGACTGCTCATTTTGACATGAAATTCTGCTGGATTCAATAATTTTAAAAATGGCTTACAGATATGCTATATGCATAAAGAGCTATGGAAATCTGGACATTTGTAAGTATGTTTAAAAAAATGACTCTAGAGCACTGCCGAAGGTAACCTGCAAGTCTAATTGCATTATTGCTCAATCAGCTAAAAATAAATTAAGCACTGGAAAGCTTAACTTCTTTCTCGCTACTACAACAAATTTTAGTACTCCATAAATAAGACGAAGAGAGCTCCCCAGAGCTATTTTTACTGGTAATTTATTCCTGTTGGTAAAAAGCATGTTGAAAAGTTTTAAAATTATGAAAAATAGCTTAAAAACAGAGATACTATATCCTATTCTTTAAAGTTTCAATTTTGCAGTTGTAGTATATTTTAACTATGTCAATAAGTTGTTCTTCAGCCTTATTTTCAATAAAATGTTTAAGAAAGAAAGAGCCCAAAAAAAAAAAAGATTAATGGAACAAAAATGTTAAACCTAAAAAGTGACTATTTTAAATGGTTCATTTTAAGGTTGTTACGAACATTGACAGAAAAGTGCTTAATTTTTTCGTTTATAGAAATGCCTCCTGCTTTGACTCAAAAGAAAATAGTATTTCATTATCTGAGATGTCTCATATCTAGACCATGAGAAAAAATATTTTCTAAGAGACGTGAATTAAATAAATGTGCACGATATTTTACAATTTCTCATGAATTGAAAATCTACGTTTCCACATGTTTTCTATTTATATTTTGATATAATTCGATTTCATGCTCTTTAGAAAAGCCTCATGCTTTGACTCAAGGAAAATGGTTCATCCTGTGAAATATCTGATATCTAGATCATAAAAGAAAGTATTCTCTGAGAAATATGAATTAAATAAATGTGCATAAATTAATAAATGAATTAAATAAATGCCCAAGGTTGTCTTAAAAAATAATTCATTTTATTAATGATAAATGCTGACGTAATCTACATGTTCCTTGCAGAGTACTAAGCAATATAAAGTGTTTGTTTTTCAAAATTAGCCTATCAATTATTTAAATAAATTGAAAAAAAAATTATATGCATCAATTGATAATTCTAATCAACAACTAATTGATATACCAGTTGGATTTATTATGTATTGTATTATTAGGCATTCTTCCTTCATTGTATCATGAGACATTTCCATTCTTTTAAAAGTTGTAAACCTGCAATGTGTAAAATTTAGAATTATTCTATGATGTTACAGATCAATACAGAAGTTTTTGCATCTGGCAATTTGAGTATAATCATGTTTTTTTTTTAATATAATTTATTCCACTTTGAATTGTTGATTTAAAAAAAATGGAAGCACTAAGGAGAAATTGTTCAATAAGTTTTGTTAAATATGTTCCATACCTGAACTATTGGAATTTTCCCTTTCAGCAAGTAGTTCAAACTATATCATATTGAGTGATTTAGAAAATACACTGTAGGAATTATCAAATGTAAAAGTTAAATTTTTTTTTTAATTGTTATGCTAGGAAGACACATTATACAATATTTTCATAGTGTTGTATTTAAGAATTTCTTTTTGAGCATTAATGGATGAATTAATAATTTTTTAGGCTTTATGATTGAGTACATTGTTGTTCTTATAATTAAAATATAGTAAAATAATAGTTTCAAACTAACTAATAGTTCATTTTTATAATTCGTATTGATATATTTAGACTAATAATTGGATTACTTTTTGAAAGCTAGTTCTGATTCACATTGAAAATTGTATCAACTGCTTAATAAAATTAATTCTTAGTAGCTTGTATGGTTAATGTATAGTTATTTAAAATAATAAAAACTAGGAAGTACATATTGATATTAAAAGAAAATTCCTAATGTCTAGCACTGAACTATTATATTCTCCACCATCGGAGTTGCTTGAAGTGTTGCTCTTTCAACATTTTCTATTGGCACTTAAGAATATAAAAAGTAAAACTTATGCATAAAGTGTTCCATAATGGCTGCCTTTAGGATATATTTTTGTAATCCTTATGAAATAAAAAAAAAGCAAGTGCTATTAATGAATCATCAAGTGAAAAATGGGAGCAAACACATCAAAACTATTTAAATTGCATGATGATACTTGAAAGTGTTAGTTGCCAAATTAATTTTAAACCTATACTGAAATATTATTGTACTCTGATTATTTTATGTTATTATCATTTTTAAATTTAATATTTTTTTTCTTTTTAGACTACAATTTTTCTCATAGAATTGAACAATTTTCATTTGGAGAACCTAGTGTAGGAGTTTTTGAGCCTTTAGAAGGTGATGAAAAAATAGCATCGTCAAGTAAGTTTAGTTTCAATCTTTAAAAAAAAATGCGTGCTTATATTGTTTACATAAAAAATTTGTGTCTGTTTAAACCGAGGAAATTATAAAATACTTTTTGTCTAACATTAACTCCAAAACTAGTCATGATGTATATTCAAGAGATATCTTACTATTTTAGTAAGTCTACAAATTAAGGTATAGCTATGAAAAAGTACTGCTTAATACTTTTAAAATAAAATCTGTATTTTTTCTCTCTACATGATCAAACTTTTACTTGTTAGAGTAAACAACTAAATAAAGGAATACATAATAATGCTTCATATCCTTATTGTTAATCACTTAATTTNGATGAGAGGATAAAAACACATTTTTGATACAAAATTATTCCTAAAATTGAAATATATACTGTAAATATATATAATTAAAAAAAATTAACAAAATTATTATTCCATAATTAAATCATAATGCATTAATATATCTTTTTAGTGAGTGTACGTGTTAGTGTAAGATGAGTATAACTAATACCACCCACCATTTTTTGTGGGAAGTCAAGGGGAACTGGTTTGTGAGTGAAAAGGATCATAAGAATTTAAATTGCGTGGTTTTGTTTGCATTTTGAAATAATATTGAGAAATGAGGTGATTATCAAAATCTATCTAATAAAACATCAGATCTTAGCTTTCTTATGTCTCTCTTTAAATATAGAATAAAAGTGATATAATGTAAAATAATACCTACCAAAAGTTATTATGAAGAAGTAAAAAAAAAAATGCAATTTGTAAAAAGACATTTATTTAAGGATTCTAAATAAATGTTTTAATTATTACCCTTATATTAATTATTAATTTATTAAAAATAATTTTCTCATGTAATGTATCAAAATTATTATTTCTTATGATTGATTTAAATTTGTTTCAAGCATTTTGTTATAATATTTAATCAGCAATTTAGATCATTTAGATATGGTTTTTGCTGGTTTTTACCTGATTTTTGTCACTGTCCTGGCAAAAAAACCTTTTTGTCTGCCAAAACTCCATCCCTGGTTCTTATCAGTTAAGCAACGCCATAGTTAATGAGATTTTAAATTATTTATTATTTACAGCTAGTCAAAACATTAACTTTTGAAATTAATAACAGCAAAATAATCTCAAATTGAGTAGTGCTATTATGGATGGTAAACTGAATGTAAACAATAACAAGATTTTAAAAAGAAACTTAAAATTTCCCTTATATCCCTCTACTTATGATGTGTTTATGAGGCAAAGTTTAAATAATTTCGGTATTCTAAGGGGTTTTATTATCTTGTGTTTAAATTTATGTGTTATTTTACCAGCCATAAGAGTTTTCAGTATTTTATAAATTCTAAAAGGTCTTTTTCTAAATTAATTTAAGAAAATTAATATTGTGACATAAACAAATGATAAGGTTTTCTATTTTTTCAGGGTCAATTTTTTAAAAGAGTTACATTTGTCACTGACATCACTAATCATTTTAGTTATTTCATTCTTAAACTCTAGAAAATAAATCTAGTGATGTCAGGTTTAATAGGAAATGCAAATGGTTTTCAAAACAAATTGAAAGGTTTTAAACGTTCTCCAAACCAGAATAATTTGGGCCCATTTTTCCAAGTTATCTGAAATAATTTGAAAAATTTAGATAATGAGATTCTTATTTTACGATTAACATCCAAGAACTCACAGAAGAATTTACCACTAGATTAAGATGAACTTTTAAAAAATAGCATAGTGCTATCAATTAATTATTATTGTTTTTTTTATTTATTAAATAGCATTGAGGATTAGCCAAACTTGTTATGAACCTAAACTGTGTGAACTTTAAGCAGATGTATTTTTAAGAACGAGGGAGAAGAAGGCAGCTGATTTTTTCAAACTGTTAGCAAATAAAAAAAATTAAAAAAGGCTTCACAATCTGTGAGTTTTCTGTCATAAATTCACATCAATATTTGATAGTACAGTACAGAACCCGTTATCCGGAAATCGGAAAACCAAAAAACCGGAACAAAATTCGATTAGTTTTCCCGCCATTTTAAAAAAAAAAAAATTTTTCCTCATAAGATTTTAAGATTTTTTTTTCTATTTTGAAAGATGTTTACCTTACCATCATTTTGGAAATAATCATTAGTGTATTACTTCATCGTTTTTTCTTCTTTTTCAGATTATTTCCAAATTATTTTTTTAGTTGGGTTTAACAATAAAAAAAACCTTTTTGTAGCGATTCAGAAAACCGGAAAAATCAGTTATCCGGAATAGCGATGGTCCCGATCGTTCCGGATAATCGGTTCCCTACTGTATTT